GAAGAGATATGTATGTTTAGGACAATCCCGTAAATGAAGAGGCAGGCCCTCCTTATTTCCTTCCCCTCCTCCCCTCTAGCTGGAACACTGACCCATTGGGTGTTGTTTTGGAACTATCTTTGACTATGCAGAGAACAACTACGTTGGGGGGACCACTAGACTAGCAGTTTGAGAAGCTCCACTGCTCTAGGGGTCAGTAGAGCAACAAGACAGTCTGAGTTTTGAACACCTGAAGCAGGTGTATCAGCCCTGGACTGCTTGTATCCCTGAACTACTACATGAAAGAGAACTTCAGTCTGTCTGGTTTAAGCCACTGGAGTCTCTTTATTCCAGCAAGTTAACCCAATGCTAATACTTGCTCGCAATCTGCTCCTTCTCACCCTTCATTTCCCTTCCCATAAACCTTTTCCGTCTTAATTTGTATCATCAATCACCCAGTTGCTCAGGCCCCCATACTAGATGCCATTCTTGTTTTCTCTTCCCTCCCATTCATTGCCAGGCTATCATTGTGACCTATTGGCTCTACCTCCAAAATGTATCTCAAATCTGAGCTCTTACAACTTGGACTGACACCACCTTACTCAAAGCCCCTAGCATCTTTTATCTGGACTCCAGTGGCTTCCTGCCTCCCTTCTTGATGCACACAGTTCATCTTCAACACAGCAGCTAGAGTGAGATTATAAATCATAAATCAGGTCACACATTCCCCACCCCCTGCCCCAGTGGCTTCTGTACTCATAATAAAATCTAAAGTCCTTGTTTTGGATTCCAAGATCCTACAAGATGTGGATCTTACTTCTGATCTCATATTCTACCAGTCATTTGGCCTTATTCTGGTCCCTTGAAAATGTCATGTCTGTTTCAATCTCAGGGCCTTTGCACTTGTTTTTTTCTTTTGGAAAACTGCCCAGATTTTTGCGTAGCTGCCTCATTCAGATATCATCTCTTCAGAAAGCTCTTTCACCATGATTGTATTTAACTTCTCTTTAGCAATTAATAGTTGCTGGGATAATCTTATTCGTTAGCTTTTGTATTTGCCTACTGTAAATAAAATACAAACTTCTTGAGGACAAGGACTAAAAACAAATGACCTTCACACTACGAGAATTCATTTTAATAATTTGACCTTTATTCCTTGTTATTATAGTGGTGTTTTTGTTTATTTGGCCTGTTTTCTTTTTTTAACACAGAACTTTCACATTTACTGAACAGGCTTCTGTTAGGGCCATCCATGAAGAAGGATGACATCCTGCCTACCTCATTCCCACAAAAAAATTTTTTTGACAAAAAAGCATTATTTTTAGGCATCAGGAATAACTATTAAAAACAATTCTGTTGCACTAGAATTCAAGGTTTCAGTGAATTCCCTGCCCATTCATAGAAATCAGTTAGTATGAAGGAAATGATTAATTTTACTTTTGTTTCTGTTTTCTTTTTCATCTCCAGAACTAAATACAGTATTTAACATTTTTTTATAGCTCATGGTTCTCACCCCTAGCTGCCACTGGAATCACTTGTAGATGCTTAGGCCAAAACTCATACCAATTAACCCCATTCTAGAATCTCTGAGATGTGGCCACACGGCATCAGTGGTTTTTAACACTCTTTAGATGAGTGCAGTGTGCAGTCTGCTCTAATAGTTTGCTCTTTAGCTTTTCTTGCAATGGATTTGTTCAATAGTCAAAATTTACTTGCTTTCCATTTTACCTTCCAAGGATTTAAAACTATTGATTGGAAATTGTGTTATTCTATTTAATATTTTGATATTTAATGTTTTTCACATGCCAGGCACCGACCTAAAGGTGTGATTGTTCATTGCTAGTAGGGTGACTTCCTTCTAATGGGAATTCAGTGGAAGTGTCTGAAATTCACGGTTTCCATACAGAGGTTTTAGAAAGGGTATGTGTGTGTGTGTGTGTGTGTGTGTGTGTGTGTGATGGTGAAGGCCCTTATATAACAATGTTTAATGCTTTACAAAGCAGTTTTACACACATTTCATTTCTCACTTTAGTTTGGTGGAAAGTAGTATTATACTTGATAAATAAACAAGGAAAGCAATGTTCCAAATAAAGCAGACTGCTGAAGGGCCACATAGCTTTGTGTTCCTTAGTCAAGGCATAGGCTGGTTAAAATGCCATTAGTCTTTTAGTTACTGAAAACTAACATGTTTCGTAAGAAGGGAACTTATTGTAACAGACTGAATGTGGAAGTAGAAATGATGACCTAGCTTGCTTCTATTAAGCCAGCTATTAAAGAGATTTGCAAAAATGCAGACCAATGCCACTCTTTTCACTAAATTTTCATTTTGGAAAATGGTTATTTTCATCAAAAATATTTTAACACGTATTGGGTGTATTATTGTTTTAAAATACTTAATACTTATAAATGGTCTCAGTTTTAATCTTGGACATAGTATGTATATTGATAGATATAACCCATGTAAACAAAATCTCTTTGGGGTCCCCAGACTGGAAAGTTTGAGGATCTCTGTAAGTTATTACTGTATGCTTTGGCCTCTGGCCTATTTTTTTCCGTTGTGTCAAAAACTAAAAATCTGAATAAACTGTTTACCTTAACATTATGTATGGCTTACGCAAAGCTAGCTCATTTAGCACTTTTTCCCCAAGGCTACACATTATTACAATACTAAATACGAGAAGATTGGTACAATGAAAGTAGAAGTCTGAGAGCTGGATGAAAATTATAGAATACATGATAAAGAAGATCAATGTCAGCTATCTCTTCAATAGAAACACTCTGAATATCTTTGATGCTCTCAGAGATTAGCATCAGAAATTAATACAAGAGGACACAGAACTATATTCAGTATCTTATGGTAACCTATGGTGAAAGAATATGAAAATGAATATATGTATGTTCCTATATGACTTAAGTATTGTGCTGTGCACCAGAAACTGACACATTGTAAACTGACTATACTTCAATAAAAATGTATATTAAAAAAATACAAGCAGACACAGAATTCAACCTTAACTGTTGCCAGTTTACACATATGTGGCTGAGTTCTCAAAATATTGTGACGTAATGAAAAAATTCCTTAGATGTTGTGGAGGGGGAAAACTGTAAGCCCTACTCATTCTGTAATGAAGAAACTATAATTTTTAATATTACTTTATTAGCCCAAGATTTCCTTAAGCCATCTATTTTCTGATTTAGCTCTGGTTAACAGAACCATGCTGGAAGCTTGACATTGCCAGCTTTCAACAGGCAATTGTTAGTGAAATTCCAGGAAGATGAGGGAGTGTGACAAAACTGCAATGTGACACAAAACAGAGTAAAAAGTAGTCTTTAAGACTGTTAGATAAAAATGAAGGCTAAGAACATCTGCAAGGATGTAAATCTTAATCCATCTGTTGGGCTGGTTCTGGTGTCAGATTTACATTTTGTATGTTGCCACCACAAAGCTGTACTTGCTAGATTAATTGTAAGGAATCCCTTTTAAGATACCCGGACTTCTAAAGTTTAATGTGTACATACTAATTAGTTATCAGGGAAAGCTGCATTCAGTCTAGGATCTGTAATTCCTTTTGTACGTAAAGTGCCTCCCCTTTAGGCACAGAATTAATGAGTGACTATGTAACAGATACATTTCTTTAAAAACAAAATACGAGATTCTTCCATCATGCTGAGTCTGCTATGTAGTATTTGTGTTCTTTAATTCTGCTCAGTTTTTCAAAATGAATAGAAACAATGCAATTCAAATCCTTTATCAAGACATAGCCTGAGTATATGAGCTTATGAGCAGTGTAGAACCATATATTTAAGAGGCAAAGCCTCAGACATTGCAAGGATTGTAAATAATTTTTTTCTCATTCCTAAATTTCCTATAAAAAAGCAGAGTTTTGTATAAGGGAATAAAAGTCTTATTTGATATGAAGGTTGCTTTATTCTTAAAACTACATGTATTTTTCCTTGCTCCTCTGTATTTCCTACCTCCAGACATCTCGCTCCTCCCTTTCAACAGACATCTTCATTTGGTGTTGGATGGTTTAAAATGGTTTCTATAATCTAGTCCTGAATAATACCCACTTTAAAGCATAAACAGTTAAGCCATAAATGTAAACGCTGATTGAAATGTTTTTTGAACAAGCATAATCAATTTGAGAAAAGATGGGCAGGGTTAAGTTCCCTGTGAGGAAAGATCACACTGATAACCCCAGTTTTTAAAAGTCAGAGCATGAGAGATAATTGTGACTGGTGTTTGTGGAACATTTGGGGGTGGGCGGTGGAAGGAAATCAATCCTATAAACTGAGATTCTAAGTTGAGAAAACTATCAGATGAAATGTCAGGGGAAAAAAAACTTCTTAGAATTCCACTTTCTGAAACTATTTAATGAAAACTTAACCGTTTTATTGGGGATTCAAATATTCACTGACATATACCTGACAAACTTTAGACTGAAATCATTATCTCCAGGAAGTTATAATTTCACACATTTTGCTATTATAAATAACACTTAAGCATCACACAGACACTGACATCATAATCATGTCAGAACAACTGTATCATTTTTTAATAGATGAGTATTAATGATCTTTAGTATTTGGATGCATTCCAGGTCACAGAGCAAAAGCAAACTTTCACCTTTGTGTGATTTTGTGTTTTCAGTACCATTACATGTCTAGCTCCTCTGGGGTAACATGTCTTCTCAAATAATGAACACTACTGGATATTATACTCTCAAAGAAAATGTCTATTGACCCTGTATTCTAGGAAGAAATGAAAAAAAAACAAAAGAAATGTAATTGCAATCTTATTTCTTAGAGATTCTTAGAATCTTTACTACTGAACACTGGCCCCACACTGCTATCACATAAATATTCTTCCTGTAACTGAAAGTTTGCTAGTAGGAATGTCTTAGGGGTAGGTAAGTTAGGGGTAGGTAAAAAGCCTTACAAAGAAACTTTAATAAAGGACATTAACATTTTACAAGAAAAGATACTCACTTCTCTTCCCACAAAAGCCAAACAGAAAACAGTGAGTGTTAACTAACATTTTCTATTTATTCATTAATAAAAAGTGCATAGTACAAGCCCTTTATCCCAATCCAAGTACTCAGTAAAAGATTACAATAAACACTGGATGGCACAGACATGATTTGTTTGGCATGATTTAAACATTTAAAAACAATTCCCATTTAGTATATCACATGACCACTTTTGCTTTTAACAAAGTAATCATCAGACATGGTAACAAATACATACGACGTTTCATTCAGAATATTATAATGTTAAGACTAAACCTACTATTGCAACAACAAAAATTTAACCCGTTAAACTCACTCCATTTCTCCTTCAAGTTGCTGTTTTGTGTCTTAAACTGAGCTGGTCAAATTTTAGCACATATTCATTTAGAGTGACAGACTGATTCAGGGTAAGAGGCTTCTAAGGTTCCTTTGAAAATGTAAGATGTAGGTAATTCCATAAACACTATCACATCGCATACCACAAAGACACTGAAAGTAACCATGAAATAGCTGTACTTAATAGTTACTTCTGAAAATCTTTCCAAGTAGTTTAAAATATGACTTGCTGACCATGGGATAGTGCTTGGATACATGATAAAATCTTTTACTATACACAGTTCCAATGTTAATTTTTTCCACGTGGAAAGCAGAAAAACATTTTGCATATAAGAACATTAAATAATTCTAAAACAAAATCAACTCTTAATGGCATTTGTGGAATGTTTAAGAGCCAAAAGTGATTAAAATGTGAAGCATTATCTTTCTTTTTTCCCCGATTACTTAAAAATGATTGTAGCCACAGTTCAGGCGAATGTTTATAAGCCAAGTAATGAGTAAGAGTGTGCTCAGTAAAAAGGCCACATGTAGAAGCTTTAAGAATTAATTAGAATAATATAAATTACTAGTTAGGTTAATAGGAATACTTTATGTGCTACTGCATATTGTCTTTGTCAGGAGTGCAGAGAAATTTTACAAGCAAAAAAAAAACGAAGACTAAATACTTCACTAAGAACTTTAGTTACTAATTAAACAGATGGTCCATATAGGATATTCTAGATATAATGTCAATTAAGTATATGTGACAGAAATGAAGAGCTAAGAATAAGAACCCACATTTCCAGGTTTCTAGTTAACACTAGACATTCTGTTTCCATGTCACAGCCACTTATTCAACCAAAGTCAATTCTCAATTATTTGTGAGCCACAGATTCAGTGAACACATCAGTATCTCTGCCAGAGACTGGCTTTCGAGCAGCTTAGAGAGCAGACTGTTGGGACTTATGTGCAAGCCTTTGTTCAAGGTTCAGGGGCAAGGGTAGAGAAATGAATGCCTACAGGGACTTGGCTCCATCTTCTGCCACTCCTGCCCTTTCTGCTGTAAATGCTTTAAGAGCTATAGAGCTGGCAAGGCTTCCAGTAGGCCACATTAGGAGGGAAAAACCTTAAATCTGCGGTGCTCATTTATCCAGGATCTGACTTACCTGTGTTATGATACCTCTTGATTAACACAAGTAATTAAGAGTAAGTTGTATTATTTCAAGGAGTTGAGCACAAAGCCAAAATGTACAGTTGAGGAACACAAGCAGTGTATTAGAAAATGAAATGAAGCCCTTAGAGTGTTTACAGCCTAGAATATAATCATAATAAAGGAAAACAAATACCCTATGAGCATCACATAATTGTATCAGAGACTCTATTAAACAGTACAATGATACAGAGAAGTTTATTAATTCATATAAGTAATTTCTCAGATCTATACAGTAAAAAGCTAGACTGATCTGGGAAGGGAGGAAATCCTTACACTGATAGCTAAGTATCTTCTAGCCCCCACAAATCATTTGCAATCACTTTCTAGGGGAATAAATCCATAAACACACAAGTCATGCGGACTTTTTCTTAATGCCATTTGTCTTCATTTTCTTTCAAACTGAACGAAAACCAATGCAACCTTTTACTTTTCTATACATTTCAAACTTTTACTTATATTAATGCTCCTCCCTACTCCAGTCCATCCTATTACCAAACAAGAATGAGATGGGGTTGAGAAAAAGATCCTTGATTGTTTCTCATTTTCCTTGGAGTGAACCAAGAATTCATTAAATACTTTTTAAAGTCAGATAACAAGACTCAAAATTTTTTCTTTGAAAAAAATAAAGTAAGTAAATAGCATTCAAATGTCAGTAACCAAACAGGCCCCTAATACAGCTTTAAGATAGTTTCATTTAACAGGGAAGTGTTACAAAAGAAAAGCAGCTTCCTGAGAGGCATCCATTTAAAAAATAAATTACAGCTTAAATTATTACTGTATAGATTATACCTGGCAAAGGCAGAAAGAATTAACTTTTCCCCTCCTTTCATGAACCATGTAAGGCTAGTGTACAGTGGCTTACAAATGTCATATAATGGACTATAGGTCATCTACCATATTTAATTCATGTTTATTTGAAGTTTTCTTAATATCAGACATTTTTATGGGAATAAAAAACTGAGTAAACAATTGTTTCATTTTTTTCTTTCCTCCATTTCTAGCCACATAAGCCAGTTTTAGTGGATAATACAGAGTTCAGCTGTAACTTGTACAATTCCAAAGGCTGTCACAGTCCCAAGAACTAGAGAAAACTGCCACCCACAAATAAACTACCAAGGTAAGTGTAAATACAGTGTGGTTCTAATCTTCTTTCATACAATCTCAGATAACCCCAAATAACTTTATAAATACCTTATGAAAAAAATTTAAACCTATAAAACTATTTAAAATATTTAAACGCAGGGATCTCAAATTTCCTTCAATCAGGCCAGAAACTATCAAAAAAATTATAATCACAGTTACAAATAGAATGAATGGAATGTTTAAGTTTAGGATAACCAAAAAAGCCACATGTAGCTTTTTAATGCAATCATTTACTCAAATATACTGTAAATAGGAAAGGTGATAACACAGGAAGCAAAAATAAGCTTGCAAGTGAAATTTTCAGAAGCTCATGAAAACAATACCATCCCATACAGCAAATGCGAAAGGAAAAACAGTTCTAATGGGGTTAAGAGTACTCTGGTCATCTTCGTTCATTTGGTCGTGCAAGATGTTAACTATTTTCACTTCCCATATCACAAAGTTAGTCCACAGGAGGGGCTGGTGGATCTTGTCCCTGGCATTTAAAAGAGAGAAATTATGGGACAGACTCTTAAATCCCAGGGCCACCAATCTAACACATAAGTAAGAACTGAGCAGTAATGCCCTTCACCCTCCCATCTCAATCACACACTTATTTGGACTTCTCATATGTTTTTGCACAGGGAGCACTAGATTAATACTGTGATTCACATTGTTTGTCTCTTTCTTCCCTACAGTACGGAAGAAAGGAAAACTGTGTAACAGTGACGTGATTTGGGTGAAAGTGCTCTCCCTGACAGCTCCAGAGGTGATATTTAAACCAATCGAGACAGTCTCCTCCCTCTTGCTAAGGTGACCGACCGAGTACAGTACAATCAAAGTGAAGCTGGAGACTCCTGTTTCTCACAACAGAAAGTCAGTCAGTGAGGAAGCATGTGGCTCCAGTTGCTACTGGCAGCCATCTTATGGCCACAAAGGGAGCCCACCTTGGAATGAAGCTGATGGTTGGAAGAAAGAAACTGGGTCTCTGACGACACTGTTAAACTTTCTAACAATGACCCTACCTCTGGATTTTTCTGATGTAGAAACCAATAAAGCCAATTATTTAAACCAGGCTGAACTGATTTTTGTTACTTGTAATAGAAAGCATCTGAACTGCAAAGGAAAGATCAGAGATTTTAGGAATCTTCAGGAAGATTCCATTTATTTACTCTGACATGCTGTATAATGGCCTAGTTAAGGGAGATCAATTCTTCTACTTGGAATTAGTCAATATGTTTTCGTGCTTACTCCTAGAGCAGGGGGACTGCTATTCCTAGGACTGATGGTCTACTATGAATTAAGGTTCAGGGGACTGTAATCTTGCATTTCTGTCACTTCTAATGGCTTCAAAGTCAGCTTATTAAGCTGGATTTCTTTGGGTCCAAACATTGAGGATGTTGCTCTTTGATATGAAAGTAAGAAGGAAGGAGGAGAAAGCACTTTATCAAGACAACGTGCAAGCTGTTTTATAGATACCTTCCTCTCCAAGAAAAACCAAAAATAAATTTAAGGCATTTTATATAGTGCTAATGAGGCCTTCTTTCTAAACTAAAGTCAGCATGCTACATATTTAAATATTCTAAATCTTAAAAAAAAAAACCCAAAGCACTGACTAATTAACATGACACATTTGCTTTCTCCTATATAAGCAATTAGTCTAGCCGAACTTCTTTCTAATATTAACAACACAGGGTTGGGGAAAAGAAGCCATCATTTTAGGAATTCCACATGCTGAAGGTTGAAGAAGGGAATTAGTGGGATAATTTGGTGTTCAACAAGTAAATCCATTATGGAAATATTTTTAATAATATCCAAATCAAATGAGAAAGAAAAAATATAAATACTGGTTCTAAAACAATTAAAAGGAATCCTTTAATGGAGCTCTATTAAAGACAGTATCAAAAACTCCCTACTGGGTCACTTTATCATATTTTTCATTTAGAAGGTTCTGAAAATGGTTGTAATCCTAACTATCAAGATTTATCACCATGAATGATTCCTAGCTCTGCTTTAGCCAGCTCAGTTGACCTGTTGTAATGCAGAACTGGAAGAATGAATTTGAGATAAATAGGATGGGACAACGGGAAACCAGGTTTAGCCAGACAGGCTCAGTGTCTGTTGCAGCAGACAGCTAGGACAGAAGGGGAGAAAAAGAAGTGTTGTTGGGGGGACACTTGAACACTAGCTAGTAAGAGAATTTAGGGAGCTGGAAGCATGAGAGACAAGGATCAACGGTGAGGTGGACAGAACCGGGTAGTGGAGGATTGAGATTTGAGAAAAATTGCTGTGGATTATTATTATGCACTGGATCATTTTTTTATATTTCTCATGTGAATAAAGATTGGAATTCACCTTAAGATGATTTTTGGGCTACTGGTTTATACTTTTCTCTATATGTAACTCCATGAACACTAAGCCAGTAGTGGCTGCAAGATTTTCGAGGACTACACAGGAAGAATTTAGTCCATGAGTTAAATCTTCCTTTTGCTAAATCATATATTTCAATCAAAACAAAAACTCCTCCCCCTTCCCAGGCCACACCCATTCCCCCACCCAAGTGGATTTCTAATCCACAACACTTACATTATGAGGACTGGTTGGTTTTCCAGTTAGGTTGGATCCTCTTAGATTCGGAGGTCTCAACAGAAACAAGATCACTGCAATAACCATCCAGGCCATCAAGATCATGGTAATACTGATGCCATTATCACCAGAGGGTCCTGGTACTAAAGAGAAACAGAAAATGTATTTGCAACAAAAACTGTAGAATAATTATAATATTGTTAGATAAATGTAAAAAATGCAAATGTTTAAATGTCAGCTCCAAAAATTCAAAAGCTGAATTAATTTTAAAAGTTGTATTAATAATTTTAAGAATTATGAAGTATTACAGCTTCAATTTCCCTTCCCTCCTGGGAGAAAATCTAAATGGTAAATTGGTGTAAAACAGTCACAAGTCAAAGCCTATTAAAATGAAGATTTTTAATAGTATAGTCGTTCTTCATATTTTGGGGTAATAGAATCCTTTGAGATTTTGATATAAAGGACTCTTTCCAATATAAGAATCCATGTATACACATTCAACAATTTTGCATATAATTGCAAAAGATTCATGGACCTACAAAACCACCAATTCATAGACTGAGATCTGCAGAACCAGGTTAAAGACCACCTGAGACGCAGTAAACACACTTTACTCTAGCAGAGGAGGGGATTATGTGTTTTAACTACAGAAGTAGTATGAAAAAATAACAGAGCTTAAGGAAGAGGGAATAATCAGGTTGTATAACATATAAATTAAAGACCCCTTTAATGACATTCTCAAAGATACTAATTTGGCTTTCATTCTTGAAAAAAGAATTTGGATTCAGATCTAGATATTTTAAAGTCTATGCATTTATCAAGAGAAAAAAGTCAAGTGTCTGTGTAGGTATAGTCTTTCTAGCTCCTCAAGACAGCTATATCTCATTTAATTCAGAATAACAAGTACCTAGCACAGTGCCTGGCTCGTGCTATGCCCTTAACAAATTTCTAATAAACGAAACAGGTGTCAGAAATGAAAATTTGTAAAAGATTAGATTTCTAAAGAAAATAGTACCTCTAGGTAGTTACGAAAACAGCAAGACTATGTATAAATGTTTGGTTTTGGTCTCCTTAACTCAGGAAAAAGTAAAAGAAATCTAGACAAGATTCTGAAACTAAATGAATGCATCACATTGAGATCCATGTGCCCAGGGCCCAGATGGTACACTGCTAAGAACAAAGGGTTAGTGACCAAAGGGGACAAAGTCAAGCAAAGAGCTGAGCTGTCCCAAGAGCAGACTGGTTAGGAACCTAGCCCCTGTTCCAACCCAATCACTTCCCCAGAAACAGTTAACACAGTACTTGGGATCACCAAATTTTCATTGCTTATCACACAATAAATCAGCATTTCCCCCTTCTATAGCCATATCTATTCCTTTCCTTGTTCCCTCCTACTGTACTAAATGTGCCTCCATAACTAAAGACCAATTTCTCAACTTGAGCTTTGGATCCCAGCACTTGTGCAAGAATCTATCCATTATCCTCTCTTGTGTATTCAACAACCCCTTCTCCACTGCAGCCATCCTATAATCACTTAAACATGATAAAGTTTCTCTCATCTTTGGAAAACAAAACTCCATCCCTCAGTCTCTTTCCCTGTCCAGCTATCAAGGCTAAGAGTGGTCTTGAGAGTTGGTCTACATTTACATGTACATGTCACTCCCTCCCATTCACTCCTTAGGTTGGTATCCACCTCCATTAACAGTCAAATAGCTCTTTAAAAGGTCACCAATGATACTTCTATGCTGCTATGCCTAATGGGTAATTTTAGCCCTCATTTTCCAAGACAATGCTCTCCTTTTTAAAACATTTTCTTCCTTTGTCTTTTGTGCCATTACCACTACCATTTTCCTTTTGCAATTCTGAATTCCTCATGGTCAGTTTTAGGTTCTTTTCTGTTCTTTCTCTACACACTATCATCCTCACCTGTGGCTTAAATTACCTTCCATATGTAGAACACATAAAGTTTTACCCAGTCTCCAATCCCCTGAACTTTAGACCCAATATCCAACTATCTATCTATATCAATAGTTCTCTATTTTTTTAAATCTTCATTTCAACAGTTCTTAAACTGTGATGTACAACAGTACCATTGGCAGCTTCTTAAAAATGCACCTGAATCCCTTATCACACTAAACATACTCAATATTGCAAACCAAAATCATCAGTATCACCCCTGCCCCATCCTCAATGCTCTATCAAATTGGGTTTCCATCCATGCAGCTGCCTAGGCCAAAAACCTACGAAAACATCTTTTGTTCTCTCAATGACCCTCTTTTTAGTCCATCATGAAGTTTCTGTCAACTTTACTTCCTAAATATCAACCTGTCCATTTCCAGCTCCATGCCCAAGCTTGCTCAAGCTACCATCACTTCTTGTCTGGTCTACTGCAATGGTCTCTTAACTGATCTCCCCATGCCTATTCTTGCCTCTAATTCTGTCCTCTAAGCTGCTCCAAGAGTGACGTTTTTTAAAAAAGCAAATACTGTCTCTTAGTTTTATTACTAAATAATAGCTAAAAGTTGAGTGGTTACTTTGAACCAGACATTATCTCTCTTAATCTCTTTTAACAAACTTATTTTATGGTAGGTACTATCATATCTTCATTTTGTAGATGAGGAAACTGGGGAAAGGGGGAGGGCTAAATCCTAATGTAATAAATACAGTTGGCATGTGGCAAAGCTGGCATTTAAATACAGGTGGTCTCATTTCAGAGTCTGTACTCTTATCCTCGTTGCTATGTCATAATCTCTGACAGTATAACATAGACAAATCCCTGAAAATTATTACTCCACTGGGTAATAAAACTGGAAAATACAGATTTTAAAAGAATTCTTGATAAAGAAGCTTATAACTAGCTATTAGGTAAAACTAGATTATTTAAAGGTAGTCAAAGAATGGTAACTGTACCTTCTATACATTATCACTTACAGTGCCCCTCTTGAGAATAAAATGCCAGATTAATGTACAGACCAGAAGTGTAACCCCAAAGTCAATTCTTATATTATTCAATTTGGAAAATGGGTCCCTTACTTTTTGATACTCTTCATAAGTAAAAGATTGTAAAGCTTCAGAGAGATAAACCTCAAATCACAAATTTACTAATGCATATTTCTATAAATAAAATAGGGATTAAAAAAATAGAAACAATTAATCAAACCAATAGGTGTTTTTTCCAAAGAGGAAATAAACTAATGCATATTTCTAGACAAAGCATTCCTGACCAAATGCCCACTCTGTTTTAAGATTCTCATAGTGATAATGTGGCTCCTAGTTCCCTATAACTGTTCTCCTAGCTTGGTTCCTATTGCAGCCTTTCCTTCCTGCATATTGCTACCAAAAAAGTCTGTTTAAAACACTGCTCTTAACACATCTCTGCTGACTAACCCAGTGACTCACTCTCCACTGGCTACTGCTTCAACTGTGAACTCGTCAGCCTGACCTTTCCTCATATGATTTGGCCCTACTTATCTATATTACCTCTTACCATTTCACAAACTCAGTCCTTCTGGGGACTCATAATTTTTCCGTCTGGGTTAATATTACAACTAACTTCCACTTATTTAAATACATCTTACACCCCTCCCTCTTATGTAAAAAAATTTCCCTTTTCTCCACCCACTCTTTCCTTTCTTCTCTGGACTAATGTAGCATTCCTAGTTTGAAGGAATGATTTCCTATTTCTTATAATTACATCATTAACTTTTTAAGACATGAGATCATCTCACAGCACATCTGTGTTTGACTCTACCACCTCTTAGCTATACAATCTCTGTGCCTCCATTTCTTTACCTGTGAAATGAAAATATCACCATCATCTCAGAGAGTAGTTGTGATGATTGAAATGATTAGTATATTAACAGTTACACAGTGCCTGGTACACAGTAGGTACTCGATAAATATCAGCCATTATTGATCTGTGCTCTAGCTGATCAGTATTGGGATCAACCAGAGCACAGAAAAGACCAAGTGCACAGAGATCCTGATGTGAATAACTAGGACGGATAGGATGGTGAAGTGGGAATGAAAAAGGATCAAACACAAATGGTAACAGGATAAAAGATGCACAACACTTGGTGTCTGCCTGAATTGGTTATGGGAGGAGGAGGAAGAAAACGTTAAGGGTGCCTCTAAAATTTCTGTAGGGTAGTAGTATGTAGAATTCTACACTTACAAGGTTAAGTGGATGCAGTTTTCCTGATCTCCAAGGTTTGATAAGAACATTTCTCTTCTCTTTAATAACCCAAGACCCATTTCAGAATAAAAGATAATAGCTGAACCAATTAAAGTCGAACTTCTTGCTCACAGTCAGTGTTTTTCTGTTTATTGTAAATCCCACAAACTTAAGATTGGCTCTGGAGTGTACTTTCACATACTGTGAAGGTTATTAACAAAAAACTGGAAACAGACCTAAATGTCTGCCAATAGTGTGTGATTCAGAGATTATGGTAAATCTGTACAATGGAGTACTGTAAAGCTGAAAAACAATGTTGAGGGAAGTCTCCATGAGACATGCTGTTTTTTGACAGAAAATAAAAAGCAGGTGAAAAACAAGTGTGTACAAAGAAAAGGGACAGGGAGTTTGGAATTTGCAGATATGAACTACTATATTTGACATAGATAAACAACAGGATCCTACTGTATAGCAGAGGGAACTATATTCAATATTTTGCAGTAACCCCTAATGAAAAAGAGTATGTGTGTGTGTGTATAACTGAATCATCATGCTGTACACCAGAGACTAACACGAGATTGTAAATCGACCATAATTTAATTTAAAAAAAAAAGAAAGGGGGGCAAATAAGATATATTTTGCTTGTACATACATAAAGAAATTCTGCAAAGATACAAAGGCCAGTAATACCTAGAGATAGGACATGGGTAGATGGGAGAAAATGAGTAGGAAGACATTTTTTCACTATAAACTAATTAACTTCTTGATTTTTGAATCATATATAAAAAATAAATTGAATTAGGCAAATAAAAGTAGCCCTAAAATATCTTGGGATTGGTGATACTGGGTATATGAACTGACTTGGACTTCTTGAAATATTCAAGAACAGATATGAATGGGATAACTGTAGGCCTTCTGTGATTATCCACAGTCCCTTATAACAAGATCCACTTCTTCATGAGGTGTTAGAACAGATATGCTACCCCCTGACACCGCATGCAGCCAGTACAAACAGGTATCGGGAGCAGCTGTTTTAAAATCAGCATAGAGAGGTGAATGGACCTTTAAATGATCTGGCCACTATGGTTTTTATTGTGATACCTTTTTGGCACTAAATATTCTAAATATTAATATAGTGCCAAATAATCTAAATATTAAAGGCAAAATCAGATGGGGGATATAAAATCTGTTCCCTCACTGCCTAGAAATTATTTGCCTTAAGAGGGTAAATGCCTTTTACCCTATGGTGTAGAAAAATGTCAAACCATAAAAATGCAAAAGGACTTTATACACCAAAAATACAGTGTTCCATTTTGCTCAAAGGTTACATCTCTGGTTACAAGAAAAAAATGAGTATTTCAAATAAGATGTCAAATGGAATATTCACAAGGAAGCTATTAATCTAGCTAGACACCAAGAAGATGAAAAAGAAGGAGGCTCTGTGAGCTGCCAGATCCTCAGGGATTATTTCTATAAACTTACATAGGCTTCCAGTGGGAAAAGTAGAAACAGAGCAGGAGCGGAAGCGGACAATGTGCCAGGGGGCTTTAACCCTGTAATTTTGGGGTTGTATACAGTAATTACAATATCCTTGAATATATGTATGCTCATGTATAACTGAAAAATTGTGCTCTACACTGGAATTTGACACAACATTGTAAAATGACTATAACTCAATAAAAAAAAGTTAAAAAAATAAAACTATTTAAAAGAAGAAAACAAAAAAATTCTCACAATGAACTAAGTATGCTAACATAGTCTGTCCAAAGAACTTGACTTTGTTAATAAATTTGTATACTTTGATGAAAAACAAAACAAAACAATATCCTAAGTACATCTATCCATCTTTTGTTTTACTCCAAAATTAAATTAGCAATGGAGCAGGTTTCTATACAACTCTTATCTTAAAGACAGTGTTTCAGAAGAGTGAACAGACTTCTTCTACGTGGCTCTAGAGAACAAAACTGTGGGTGAATATAACAATAAAGTAGAATGTAGCTCAAGATAAAGAATTATGCAGTAACCAGATCTGCTACCAGACTGCAACTAGATTCTGCTACCACATAAAGTAGTGAGCTCCATATTCTATTAAATCATCTCAAATACATGCAGCACACCATGACAGGCACAATGTACTGTGATACTGTGATATAATAAGAAATATATATTTGGTCTTCATTCTGGTTCCTGACACGTAACTCCTAGAACCCTTGGAATCTCCTAGTGATAAGGATGAGAGGAATGTAAAATTTTTTGTTACTCACAACTTTCAACCATACTTAAGTTTATGCTAATGAGGTGACTCTTAGTGGGCCCCATTCAGGATGGAGACTGGTTGCCAGAGCCTGACCAAGTGATTTGAGGGTTGGAAGGTTCAGCTCCACTCCTCAACCTCCAGGGATAGAGGAGGGGCTGAAGATCGAGTTATTCACAATGCCAATGATTTACTCATTCATGGTATGGAATGGAGCCTCCATAAAAACCCTGAACAACAGGGTTCACAGACCTTCCTGGTTGGTGAACACATGGAGGAGCTGGGAGGGCGGTGCACCCAGAGATGACAGGTAAGCTCTGTACCTGCTCCCCTCATACCTTGTCTTATTCTTCCATTTGGCTGTTCCTGAGTTGCATCCTTTATAATAAGCCAGTAATAGCAAGTAAAACATTTTCCTGAGTTCTGTAAGTTAGTCTTGCAAATTATTGAAGAGAGGAGGTGGTTGTGGGGACCCCTAATTTATATATATACTTATGAAACAGCATAAGCTCATTGGTGAAAATTTAGAATAAACAGAAAAGTAATTCTATCACTCAGAGGAAACAATTTCTTAAACTACTTAAAGGCATAGCTGTCAAAAGGATTTCCACCAAATGTTAAAAGAACTGAGGGAAAAAAATGACCAATATAAGTAAATTAATATTCAAGCTCTAGAGTTTTGCCTTTATATTGAGGTGAAGAAGTAAAATTCCACTCACAGAAATAAGTGTATATTTGGCTTACAAGTGGGGCTGGCTCATGGGTCACAAATACCACAAGTACAGCAAACACTTGTTTTCCCATAAGGAGTTCAGTAAGATTATTTTCAACTAGAAAAACAGGTTTTAGCTTTACTGCTGAGGCAAAAATTTGAGCTGCTTATTAGAGGGCACACTATAGATGAATGACCACCACTGAAGAAGCAACATAAAAAATGTGGAATGGGGGAACCACCATCCACCACCCCCAAAAACTAACGCAAAGTCTGCATATTACTTTCTTGTCCAGAGGCATGTAATTATTACCTTGTTGCACCAATGGACTACATTGTGACAAAATTTCTACTTTGGGTCAGGCCCTGTACTAGCTCCTATTTCTCTAAGTTGTTATATTTACAGAATTTGATGGGATGTCCAGTTCACATAGTAATAACAGTAATTAATAATGCAATAACAAGCCCCTGTTTAAAGACACTTAACTGTGTTGGTTTTAGTTTTGTACACATAATTAAGTGGCACCTAGCGTTAGAGATGTGAACTATAAATAACTAGCCTATTAATAAGTGCAATTTGGCAATATGTCAAAAGCCTTAAAATGTGCAAAGGGATGTTTTTTCAAGTATTTTTCATAACAGAAAAAATATATCAGCAACCTAAGATTCCAACAAAAGGGAATTATTTAAACATTATGCATTGCCATAATGAATTAGTATTCAGTTGGTAAATATTTTTAAGGTTAATATATGTTGATATATTCACAATAAGGTAGTGAAAAAGAACACACACAAAGTGATCTCACTTTATAAAGTATATATGAAACCTAGTTGTGCCAGGCTTCACCATCCTGTGAATGTCATACTTCCATTATTACAGTCAAATTATTATGGTACAAGACTGGATTGGCTATTATTTCCCCTCGAGATACCCCTCATGTTATTTCCTCCTGAAAAAGGATGCCTTATATAATGGCCTCCAAGTCTGTCAGCTACATTCACCATGTGGGATCCATCTTCCTGCTCTGATTCTCACGTCACCATCACCACTGCCCATAAAGCCAGGTGGAGAAACCTCCTTACTGCCCATGCCCTCCTGAGAATGCTAACGTCAGAGCCGAAGGAATGACTCTAATGTCTCCCTCCCAAAGCTTCCCAACTTTGGGGAAAAATGGCCTCCTTCCTTTGCTCACAAGTTTTCAGAGCTGCCGATGAATGCAAATAGATGCTAGGGAAAGCATGAGGGGTTTGCACTAGTAGCCTCGATGTTCAGTTCAACCAGCCAAAAGTGCCCTGTTCCACATATACTTGCCTCCAAAAAGGTCTAGAAGGGTTTACATCAAGTTGTCAGCAACAGTGGTCATCTTTTAGTATTCTGGAAGTTTTTCCTTTTCTTTTTTTAATCTGTGAATTCATAACTTTATTCAATCAACGGGTTTTGTTTTTGAGGCAGGACCAAAAAAACCACAATTTTTTAAGTTAAAGATTAAATATTTAAACAGGAAATACATTACTGAGAACCATTTCCTTAAAGGGAAAACTAATAATTTAAGAATTATTAGTAAGAATAATTTCTGGCAAATATTCAGTCATATTCTGGTCTCTAACTCTGCCCCCAATGTCAAGTCTCCATCTGTCCCATCATTACTTACATTCCTGAAGACATTCTGTGTCTGTGCAGTAGGACTGGGACTGCCTCAACTACAATGAATAAAAAAAAGGAAAGTTAGCCATTGGACTTAAGCAAAAGTGGATACTATTTAATAGAAAGATCATGTTTTGTTTTTTAATGAATGCCATACTTTCAAAATCAGATGAAAACACAGAATACACAAAGGAGCTGTTCAGTTTAAGGGCATTCTTTTCTCCTCAAAGTAATATTCAAATATACTGGAATCTAGTGCAATTCATCCATTTTAAACAGGAATTTTAAAAAAATCACCTGAGACAGATCTAACTAACAGCTCACACAGCTCAATGTCAAAAAAACAAACAATCCAATCAAAAAGTGGGCAGAAGACCTAAATAGACATTTCTCCAAAGAAGACATACAGATTGCCAACAGGCACATGAAAAGATGCTTAACATCACCAATTGTAAGAGAAATGCAAATCAAAACTATAATGAGTTATCACCCTCACACCAAAGGACAGAATCAAAATTAGAATAGTCATCAAAAAGTTCACAAATAATAAATGCTGGCGAGGGTGTGGAGAAAAGGGACCCTCCTACACTGCTGGTGGGAATATAAACTGGTGCAGCCACTATGGAGAATGGTATGGAGGTTCCTTAAAAAACTAAAACTAGAGTTACCATATGATCCACAATCCCATTTCTGGGCATCTATCTGGAAAAGATAAAACTAATTCAGAAAGATACATGCCCCCAATGTTCACAGCAGCATGATTTACAACAGCCCACAGAAGCAACTTAAATGTTCACTGACAGATGAATGGATAAAAATTATGTGGTGTATACATGCACACACACACAGGAATACTCAGCTATAAAAAAAGAATGAAATAATGCCATCTGCAGCAACAAGATGGATCTAGAGATTATCATACTAAGTGAAGTAAATATCATATGATGTCACTTATATGTGGAATCTTAAAAAATAATACAAATGAACTTGTTTACAAAACAGAAACAGATTCACCAACATACTTACAGTTACCAAAGAAACAAAACAAACTTATAGTTAACAAAGGGGAAAGGGGAGGATAAATTAGGAATTTGAGATTAATAGATACTACTACATATAAAATAAACAACAAGGACCTACTGCATAACACAGGGAATTATATTCAATATCCTGTAATAACCTATAATGGGAAAGAATATATATATATATGTATGTATGTATATATATGTATATATATATGTATATGTGTATGTGTGTATAACTGAATCACTTTGCTCTACACCTAAAACACTGTAAATCAACTGTACTTCAATAAATTAAAAAAAAGAAAGAAAGAAAAAAAAGACCCTGGGCAAGTTCTTTAACACTTCTAAGCTTTAATTTCTGGTAAATGAGGATAATACTATGTTTATCTGAGTACTAGTGAGAATTAAAATACTTAACACATGTGAAATGTAGTAACAATACAAGAAAGAAGAAACATTAGCTACTATTATTACTGTGTCATACAAATTATGATCTCATCTAAAACAATTACTGGAATTAACAACAGAACAAATCATTTTATAAATTTTGTTCCCTGTGATGATCAGGCTTGCTTTGGTACATACCACTAAAAGTAGTTCTATTTGAATTAAAATGGAAAAACTTTAATTTTGGAAGCTTGTGAATTAGATTAGATCCTAATTAATATAAAATATGCTGGCTATCTTAACCTTTTCTAAATATGAAAAGAATCAATCTAAAAACACTTTAAAAATTATATATTCTATGGCTATTATCAAAAAAACAATAAATAACAAGTGTTGGTGAGGATGTGGAGAAAAGGGAACCCCTGTGCACTATTGGTGGGAATGTAAATTGGTTATAGCCACTATGGAAAACAGTATGGAGGTTCCTCAAAAAATTAAAAATTGAACTATGATTTGATCCAGCAATTCCACTCCTGAGTATTAACCTGAAGAAAACAAAACCACTAAATCAAAAAGATACAAGCAAACTCATGTTTTGTGCAGCATTATTTATAACAGCCAAGACTTGGAAATAACCTAAGTGTCCACTGAAGAATGGATAAAGAAAAAGAACACACACACAGGAGTACTGTTTAGCCATAAAAAAGAATGAACTCTTGCCATTTGTGACAACATGGATGGACCTTGAGGAAGTTATGCTAAATGAAGTAAGTCAGACAGAAAAAAGATAAATACCATATGCTTCTATTTATATGTGGAATCTAAAGACAAAAAACTCATGATTATAGAGAACAGACTGGTGGTTGCCTGGGGCAGGGGAAGGAGGGTGGATGAAATGGGTGAAGGGAGTTAAAAGGTACAAATTTCCAGTTATAAAATGAGTAAGTTATGGGAATGTAATGGACAACATGGTGACTATAGTTAATAATACTGTTAAAAATTATACATTCTAAAGAAATAGAAAAAAAAAGGCTACGAGACCTTGGGTCACAGATCGGACCTAATGAACCTCCTATGTGCATATATTTTGTTTAGGTTTTATTAATTTATTAGTTCTCCCCTGATAAGTAATATGTGTACATAGTACAAAATTCAAAAGTACACTGTATGCAAGGTAAATATCTCACTCTCTCCTGTCCTTCAGCCACCACAGTACTCAGATTTTTTGTGTATCTCTCCAGAAATGTGAGATTTTTACATGCATATATATCTTTTCGCATTACTCCTCTACCTCTAAGTAGCAATGTAGAGAATATAAAACAAGAAGAGATTAAGTAAAAAGGTTCTTGGATTGAATAAGAACTACCTAATTACTTAAGATATCAAATAAGGAGTAAAAATAACTTTCCTGGGTTTAATCTTTAGCAATGACATAGCATATCCCAAAACCTACAGCTATAATTGAAATGATCAATGAATTATCAGTTCATTGTACATTATGTAACTCAAATACCAGCCCTGGCTTTCGGCTATAGCTCTACTTAAAGTGCTGCCCTTTTCTTGGGGTCTGACTTTCTGGTTATTTGTAGCTCAACATACCTAACAAATAACATGCTTTCCATGTGAAAAGCCTCTAAATCTTCATAGATCCATTTTCTCACAAATCTACTTCCATACAGGGCCATATCAGCAGCTCTAGGCTTCTTCCTCATGCCACCATCAACCTCATGCTTTTCCAGTGTGGGTCAACCAGATAAGATGCTCACTGGGTTCTGTTTTCTCTTCCCTGTGACTCTGCAGGTCTGGGTTTCACCCCGTACCTTTGTAGTGGATTTGTGGACTATAGTAAGGGCCACCAAACTACAACCTGCAGGCTGGAGGCCTATTTTTATAAAGTTTTACTGAAACATAGCCACACCCACTTATTTACTTATCATCTGTTGCTGCTTTCACTACAACAGCTGAGTTTAGTAGCTGCCATAGAGACTCTTAAGTTTAAAATATTTACTGTCTGGCCCTTAAACCACTCAACACTACTGATAAGGATACCAGTTAAAGATACTGAGGACATACTCATGAAATAAGAGAAAAAACAAGTATTTCTGTGTAGCTATATAAAAATGTTCATTTAGAAATGTGAGATGCCCATTAATTATGTATAGTTACAATGCAACAATCATTCACGTATTTATTCAAAATGTTTACTAAATGCCTACTATGTGCCAAATATAGTTCCAGGAACTGAGGATAAGGTGTAAAAAAGACCAATTCTCTACTCTTATGGATCATATAGTCTTGTGGGGGAAATCAGGCAATTAACAAATATAAAAATGTCAGAGAGCCACGCAGAGAACGAAAACGGGATGGCATACAGTGGCAGTCCAGTAGCCACTTTAAATTAGGCTGACAGAGGCTGTTAACACTTAAGGGACTATCTACACGATAGTAACAGTAAAGGTCTGGAGGTTGAGCATGCCGGGCATTCCCGGCAGAGTAAACAACTAGGAAAGGCCCCTAGATGAAAAGGTGGCTATGAACTGATGTTGAGGAACCACAAAGCCACTGTAGCTGGGGCACAGAAGCCACATTATTTAGCCGCTGTGCTCAGTCAACCTCAGAACCAAATGCTCTCAGTATATGCTCAAATCAGTACAGTTTGCTGTTACTGTCATTAGTCTGACTGCCTCCAAGTCTAAGACATATAGCAGACACCTATTGTTTCATCAATGTGTGACAGGAACACTTTGTATCTTATCAGAAATACATTTAAATAGAGATATATTTTAATGATATAGTAAAATTTATATTAATTTTTATTATAATTTATGTTGCATTATAATACAAATAACATTACAGAATATTTAGAAATTAATGTGGATTAATTCTCTGCCATAATACAATTATCATTATTATGTTTTCTAGTCTTAAAATGTGCACATTTTCAAATAATTACAATTATAATAACAAATATTTATTGGGAACTTGTATGTGGTAGGTACTACACTAATAACTTTATAACTTATTTAATCCTTACATCCACTGGCAGAAGGCAGGTGCTATTATTTCTACTCTATGGATAAAGAAACTTGGGTTTGGGGGAGGTTAGCTAACATATCCAATACTAACCCTGAAGTCTAAATTTTTAATCACAATTTTACTCTACAATGTATAATTTTGTATCATAATTTTAGTTAACATATCATTAGCATAAAACACTGAGTCACCAACCACAATTCTGAGTGGTTACAAAATACTCCAGTGAGTTGATATAACTGAACTGAAGCAAATTCAGAGTAAAGTGAAAATAATCATAGATACAGTTACCTAACAGTCTTTAAGATTAACACAGCCAATGTCTTCCTTCAGCACTAAAAAAGATCTCTTTTCCCTTTGGGACTATGATAAAAAAAAAACAGTAATGTACAATTTGTCCTGCTATACAAGTTTCTAGAAAATTAATTAATCCACATACAACTGGTAAATATACAAATTATGTCAGTTTAATGTAGTAACTGTATTGGTACATAAGTGATTTTTCCTGGGTAAGAGGAGTCAGAGTAGGAGGCCAAATTATGACTTTGAGCAGGAAAGGCCTTACTCAAGCCATGCACCTCAGTTTTCTCTTGACTTATTTGGAGAATATA